CAGCTGTTTTTGGTGGCTCTCTGTTTCCAATTGAGTTTAATGCTGACTGTGAAAAGTATCAATTGAGTTTATGCTGACTGTGAGTCCGAAAGTATCACCGCTTGAGTTTCTCGCTGACTGTGAGTCCAAAAACCGCTTTTGCTGACTGTGAGTCCGAAAGTATTACTGCTTTGGTGAATTTTGTAAAGAGGCAACTTAATCAGCATAGTGCTATCCTAATTGCCTCTATTTATCCTTCAAAAGCGGATCTATTGTGTGTTGCTTCTGCGTAGAAAGAGAAGAGTTCGGAATGGACACTTGCACCAACGTTTGCTTGGTTTTCTATGTATGACCCATCAGTGAAGACTTGGAATGACCAGGATAGTTGACATTGATTGTCTCAAGTACCAGTGAGCCTTTCCATGTATGACCCATCAGTGAAGACTTGGATCCATTGATCTGCATTGATTGTTTCAAGGGCCAGTGAGCGTATTAGTTCTGGAGGGGTGTTTTTGCTTTCCTGAAGTAGTCAGGCAGTTTTGTACAACACACAACATCAGTGTCTGATAATGGCTTCATAGGTAGAGGGAGGCTTTAAGGTTTGTCATCGATTTTTAATGCTTTCTTCAGTTCTATGGCTTTATGTTTTAGACCCGATAGCGTTTTCAGATGTCTTGGTCTATTCTCATAGGTGCTGAAGAACTTTTCCATGGCAATGAGCAGTAGCTCCTCATACGTTATCCATGGGAATGCGCAGTAGCTTCTCAGACAGGATCATTCCATGGCAATGAGCAGTAGCTCCTCATACAGGATCAAGACCTTTTCTTTGATAAGGGAACTTATTGTGGGGCTTCCTTTAACTAGTAACATTGCAACAATGGGTGTTGATTTTATCCCTCCAGTAATTTGTCGTAATGCTTGGTTGTGTGCCTTCTCGAGTGGTTTGAGAGTCACCTCTGTGGCTGTAATGAGTGGCTCACAGCAGTACACACTATTGGCTGAATGAACATCTTGTAAGTGGTGTTGAGAGTTGAGCGTGCACACCCCCATACGCTACCAGCAAGACGCTTCAGTACATTCAGTCTATTGGAGACTCGCACTGCTATTTTAGCAATGTGACTTTTCCATGTTAGCTTTGTGTCAAATGTCATTCCGAGATAAGTGAACTCATTGGTTTTTTCCAGGGTAGTATTCTTCTACCTTAGAAGCGGGTTTATACTGTGACGGACCTAAAAAATGTTTGGAATGCAGTTTTTGCCTTTTGATAACCATTTCATTGTTGTCGCACAAGTTTGCTAGTAGTTTAAGTGCACAATTTAGGGAACTTTCTGCCATCTCCTGAGCGTTTTTCTTAGAAGCGGAATACCATAAAACAAGATCATCTGCGTAAAGTAAGCACTTGATGTCCGTGACTGTCTGTACCAATTCGCCTATGTCATTGATGAAGACATTGAAAAGAGTGCAGCTTGTGACAGCTCCCTGTGGAAGACCTGTTTGCAAAAGATTGGATTTTGACAGAGCATTTCCGTATCTGACTTTACACGATCTTTGTCCAATGGATGCTTTTATCCAGTTTGGCATGTTATGCTTAATACCAATCTTTGCCAATTTTGGAATTAGCTTCTCTTTCCATACTAAGTCATATGCTGAACTGAAATTGACGAATACCGTCGTAAGATTATTTCTTGGATAAAGGGCATCTTTGATGTGTTGGGAAAAAGTGGCTACATGTTGGTCTGTTGATCTTTGTGGCCTAAAACTTGCTTGTTCACTCCTAAGAATACTGTGGGTCTCAAGAAACCAGGTCAGCCTCCTGTTAACCATTCTTTCCATAAGTTTAGCCAGCACGCTTGTGAGGGAGATAGGCCTATAGTTGTCAAAGTTGCTAACGTCTTTGCCCTTTTTAAGTACTGGTATTACTATGGCAACTTTCCATTGGTTAGGTACTAGACTGGTCTCCCAGNCTTGATTAGGTCGTAGTGTGAGGTGAAGCCTTCTTTAACTCCAGTCAGAATTTTACTTTTAACTTGCCGGTATTTAGGTAGATTGTACAGGGTGTAACCTAAGGCCTTCTTTTACTCCAGTCAGAATTCCACTTGCAAATTCCTTCTTTTACTCCAGTTAGAATTCCACTTGCAACTCGCCGTTAGAAGGTACAGAGTGTAACCTGGGAATTGGTAATACTTCTCTATTGTACAGGGTGTAACCTGGGAATTGGTAGTACTTCAGTTTGGAGTTAGAATCTCACTTGCAACTTGCCGGTATTTAGGTAGAGTTGTACAGGGTGTAACCTGGGAATTGGTAGTACTTCAGTTTGGCATCAGGGTGTAACCTGGGAATTGGTAGTACTTCAGTTTGTCATCCAAAAGGTTTGCTTCTAAAATTGTGTAAATTTTTTCATCATAGGTTTGTAGTATTTTCTATACTTGAATCTTTTTGTCCTGTGACATCCCTCCAGCATTCCACTGGAGATTCTGTAGACGTTGTGATTCGCCCTGACGAGGGCGATTTCTCTTATATCCTTGTTTCAAGCTAATCATAATAAATCGAAGTCAAATCAAATGCCGAGTGATGGACTTTTTTGCCGTACGAAGATACGTTGTCCAGGGTGCACCACGTGGAGGTAAGTCTTTCGCACACCCCCTCTTTATATCATTTGTGCTTGGTTTAAAAACTTAACCTGAATTACGTTTAATTTGCCAAATGTATATTTGTGGAGTGGGGCAAGGTGGACACCTTTCAGTAGCGGAACCCAATTGTCTTCACTTCAAGCACCTTAATAGACCACTCAATAAAGGTGACTGGAGAATTGTTCACAGATCTCTTTTTGTACAATTTCAGAAAGAAATTTCAAATCCTCATCTGGCATGAAGAAGCAATGTCGTCATGGTGAGTTTGTAACTGAGTAACTTTGCCAGAGATAACAAGATAAAATGGGTTTTAAAACTAGAGAAAAGAGTCATAGGTAATTCTTTGATGTATTTATTTCAAATGGCAGGCGTTTGCATAGTTGACATTAGCCATTTAGCTGATGTCGGGCTTCACAGAGAGGAGGAGGAACAATAAAGTGACAAAAGGTAGAGAAGGGGGGCAGAATAATGATTCACAGATGTAACAGAATCAGACAAAAAGGCAGAGAAAATATTTAAATGAGTACTGTGGAAAGGGTCGAATATGGCATACAGTGGGGTAATGGTAGTTTGAAGTCAGTAGTCAACTGCGAGTTTATAGACTTTTTTTGCCGTATGAGTATTCGTTGCCTAGGGTGCACCACGTGGAGGTAGGTCTATCGCGCACCCCACCATGAAGTTGTGCATACTGGGAATTTAATTTCTCTCAAAGTACTTCTTCCTTTCATACATCCCGTAGATTGCATGCTGTCACATATTAAATTCTCCTATCAACAAGATGCTACTTGAGATATGACTCATTAAGATGACACACTCAATATTGGAAACCTAGTCAACAAAGTTTGGTCAAGTTTGGTATAAATTGCATCTAATTTCATCGATCAGTATGAGAAACAGGACAATTTGCATTAAACAAAGTAAATTTTGCAAAGTGTGTTATCTAATGCAAAGTGGAACCAATCAGAACACACTTGCTTCAATCGATTGATCCAAATCATATCCTCCTCCATACGAAACACATGTTTCGTCTTTAAGAATGTCGATTTCAGTAGTAAAATACAATTTGTTGTGTAAGCACTCATAACGAGGAAATAAGGCTTCTGAAATAAATTGCGATCCATCTCTTTAAAAGTTACCACACATCAAAATGTGAGCTAAGTATTCTATGACGAAAATGAGTCAACTGTGTAGCGGATTGCTACGCTAGTAAAGCCTGACTGACTCAGAAATCTCTGTGGCAGATTCTCCTACATCTAGCCAGACTCCCAGAACCAGCTAACCCATAGCCTTGCTATAAAGGAAACAGACGTGTAGTACGGATCACGTTTATCCAGTACGCATATTGCGGACAAAGTGTACACGCAGGGAGCTTAATCATGATGAAGATGGCGAATTAGGTTAAACAAACAGAGGCTACTGAATGGCCACTGTTTGTACGGCCGCTCCTCACAATCCTAGCGTAAAGACATGCGATGACGCGCAAAGCGAAACGTGTCCCACAGCCGTAGTCGTTAAAGTTTAATTGGCTACGAAAGGGTGTGGTCTATTGTATTAATACAATTACTCGTAATAGTCTGCCAATTTTTCATTCTTCGCGTGCGCAACCACTGTGCTTTTCAATTGAATTTTCAATGATGCAATTTCCATCTGAGATCCGACAAATTGATCACGACCACCTCTCTAAATATGCGGATGGGTTCAATGTGTTGAGACAAGAAATGGCACTAATCGATTTGTCAATACTCGTAAGTGCACATTCACGTCAAAGTGTCAATTTTTCTCATTCTAGACCAAAGGCGGCACTGCAATTCATGCCCATAAACTTGTCCTTTGTGCACAATTCCCAGCAATTAAGAACAGTATCTTACTGAGCAAACATTCCAACCATTCAAATTGGAGCCGTTTCCCAAATGAGTAGGTCATTGTCCTAACAACATTACCAACTCATTAGCATTGTTATGGCAGTCGTGGACTTCGCCTACACTGGCGAAATAATCATAAATGTTGAAAATGTTTTGGGGATATATCTGCTGGCTCACATTCTTGGCTGCCAAAAGCTGATTGACTGGACAACGGATTTCATCAAGACAAGGTACGCTCATTGTGTTTATTCTAACAAAAATAAACAAAATTTGTTTGTGTGCGAGTGTTTGTGAGCGTCAATGGAGCAGTTGCTAAGGTACTTTTCTTGATTGTCAAACTTTCAAAAAATCAATAACTACGTAAAAAGTTTTTGTGAAGTGAGTTGCCAGTAGAAAAATTCGAAATTTAATTAAAAATGGATAGTAAGATTCTAGTTTTTGCAAGAGATGCAAGAAGATATCTTCCTTCATCTAGCGTCCAACGTTTCTGACACTTCTCCTTATACATTAAACTTAATTTTCTTGTAGACTTGATCGACTTAATTTGATGGAGGTTTGGTTGGCAGGCAATGTCACTTCAAACACTCATCTCATTGGCGCCTGCATACCAAGAGTAGCATGTGATTTTGAGAGATTGGCCTCCAATCAGCCCTTCCTCCAACACGTGGGAGTCGACCAAATTCAACTCTTACTGCAAAGTCCTTGGATTTGTGATGGAAACGAAACAGTGAAATTCAAGGCACTTTGCACATGGTTGCGTGTCTCGACCGTGAATTCCGAGCTTACTAAACGCGATAGGCACTTCAAGCATCTCCTGGAGTTGATCAACATGAATAGATTGTCGAAAGAGAGTGTAATTGAAGCTTCAGTGGGTGGATTAGATTTCAATTTGACTAAAAATGCAAGGTACTGTCTCATTTCCATTATTGAATATTTGTTCATTAAGGAGAGTATTTTTGGGCACATTTATGAAGTTGAATGATTCTGCATTGGAAAGGTCTGTTCGTATTTGCCTATAACAAATAATATGAAGTACATACTCTACTGTGTTTTATTGTAGAACGAAATCTCTAATCTGTGTTTATGGGTGGGAAGATAATTCGAGTAGTCATGTCTTGAAGTCAGTTCCTGAACTATGTGGAGGAGAAAATTTTGCTTTCCCGCTACTTTATCGAATAAACAGCCGCACAGTTTCTTTGGATGGTTGAATCTAACTTCAATTGCTTACTCTCAATTACTCTTTTTCATTCATTGTAGGTTGTGTTTATACTCTGGGTGGAAATGGGATATTTTACGTAAGTACAAAAAGAGTAGAAAGAATCAATCCACAAAATGGTGAAGTGACTGCTCTCCAACCAATGATTGAAGTGAGAGAGAATCATTCGGCAGTAGCTCGAGATCATGCAATTCTTGTGTTTGGTGGATATAATTCGCAAAGCGGCAAAACTTTAGACTCATGTGAGGAATTCCTACCTGCAACCAACACGTAAGCATTTTGTTTTTAACTTATATGCATTTAGAGATTTATTGTCTGAAGTGCTGGTGGACCTTTCTGAATTGTAAATACACATCCTGCAATTACCAGAGTACGTCTCCTTTCGTTACACCTCAAGAGTTCTGAAATAACTCACTCATTGGTACAGTGTCATTGGTAGTAAGACATTGGTGTAAATTGGACATTGCTCAGGTCTAGAAAAAATTAATGCAGTTATTTTATTTATCTTACTGTGACTTGTGATACAAGTTTCCACCTCCAAGTGATAATCGAAGACATTTCAAATATTGGATGGCCAGTCGTTTGATCATTCAGTTTGACAAGATTTGGGAAGTTGTGTACGTCTTCATATACATATACAGATGATTGACTTTATCTGGTTTCAAGCTCAATTGCACGAATTGCCGATAGCAAAACACTCAGTACCACTTGCAGGTATCAGGGCAACAAATATTACTCGAATTTTTCATATTTTCTGATTTTTAGGTGGAGGAAACTGCCCCGAATGCCAACGCCCAGGTCTGCCACAGGAGCAGCACATATACCCGGTGTTGGTGACATAGTTGTTGGTGGGTACACAGGAACAACACATGATATCAACATTGCGGAAATCTTTTTGACAGCATCATCGCCTCTAGGGCATGCAGGCAGTTGGTGTGAAATCACACCTATGCTTCATTCGAGGGTATCTCCATCAGCAGAATTTTTCAATGGAAAAGTATATGTCGCTGGTAATTTGACTTCTGTGGAGATGTTGTCCTTATTTCCTGAAGGACCTTCTCAGTGGACCGAAGTGATTAATACCACTTTTCAGCCAAGATCGATCATCTCCTTTAATGGAAGTCTTCTGTTTGGCTGTGAGTTCAGTTTACTTATTACAGTCTTGTTTTGAAAATAGATAGAAATACTTTCTTTGGTTAGTAAATGACATGTGTTTACAACGGGATTAACGTCTCACAAATCGGAAAATGTTCAATTTGGCAATAAGAGTCCATAACTTCAATTTTTTAAACTAATGTAATGAGTATAGTAATGTCTTGACAACTGGAGTAATAAAAGTACACTTTGCATACGATTTCTTACTTAGAAACTCTATACAATTTAATGTTCTTAATTTAAAAACCGCGTAACTTATCTTAAACTGCATAAATCAATTTGCTTTAAAGTGTCAATTCAAATCGAAATTTATCTCTTTCCTGATTTTACTGTGTTCTTTGTTGAAAGCTCTCCAGATCACTAGTACTATTGATTGGCAAATCGTGATGAAAAAATGAAAATTGTGTGGATGTTTTTACTGAGAAGATCCATTCGCATTCCTCACCGATTGTGTTGGATGATTTAGCCTATAAGCCTCAGATAAGCAATCTTGAATTGCAACTTAATGGATACACTCTCCAAAATATTGGGGAGTTGGAGAAATGAAGGAGATTCATTTGCTATCAGGGTGATAGTAGTGTGATGATGCACACGCCACACTTTTTCCAACTAAACTACATTAACATACAGTAAGTTCATATCAGTGTTGCTTTGAGTACAGTGATCACTTAGTTAAATTGAGTGGTTAAGCAAATATCCTTTACTAAAAGGCAATTACTGATAATTGAATTTTGTCAGCACATTTTAGAAAAAACAGCATTCACGTGACTCCACTAAATGTCAGTAATTTGAATGCAATAGTCAAGTCTGATAATATTTTCTCTTAACTGCAGCTTTCGAAGGAAGAATATATGAGTTGTAATTCAACCAAGACAACAATCAAGACAACAAGGTAAGCTTTATGTCATTGAAACTCAATGAATGAACCAATTGCTAATCCAGACCTATGCACTGTTAATTTAGAACTCCTTAGAAGCAGGGTGTTCTTGGAAGTTGATTTCTGATTTGGGCAGATTGGGAAGATATCAACTCCTGAAGGTAACTGACCTCCCCTGATGCGTTTCCTTTCCTCCAATCTACACCTGCTACTGTCTCGCTAGCGAACTGACGTTAAAAAGTGACTGCAAAATATTAAAAATATATACATATTTCCTTATGAATAAATTGAACAATAAAACAAATTTAGATATTAAAAATGCTCTTCTTATTTTACTGAAATAAAATTTTGTTTAAGAAACGGGAAGATTGCTATGAAGGGAAGAAATAAGCAACATTAAATGTCATTTATTTTTATTATTTAAATTAAAAAATTAAATATGATTTATAACCAGATTATGTAGAGAAGGAAACTCATGTCCATTTGAATATTTATCTGTTCAGAGATACCACGTTACATCACAAATGATGTTTTTTCGTGCGTTACGTCTGTTTTCTCTCAAGCTTTGAAGTAGCTTAGCTAGTTCTTAGAGTTTATTTAAACCCAGGTGAAACTGTCACAGAGATTTCTGCGTATAGTCACGGCTTATTGTTGCAGTAATTCGCTTCACATTCTGGACGAAATATAGATCCAAGAGTGGATGGAAGTAAAAAGAATCGAAATAAAATTAATAAAATTGACAAATTTGAGTGGTATGATCACGTTCAGAGAGACCGTGTGAGCTAATCAGTCTTCCATGTTCATTCAAGTTGCAGTGAGAATAATTTACAATCAACACTTCTCCAGTCAAACGCTCTGTTGACATAAGCTTGGCTCTTGACAAATATACTATCCTAATGTGGGAATGACGTTAAATGTTTGGTCAAAAGAGTTCATCACCTCAGCTAATGAATATACTACTCGCATTAGTTTCATTATTTGCCATTTGTGCATAAAGCACAAATTCTACGTATATATAGTATTATCATTATAAATAAATAAATAAAGGAAAATGGCACGTTGCCAGAATGGCAGATGTTACCAACGAACACATTAAACAACGAAAATGAAGATATAATGTCAAACTATATCTTGGCAAATAAGAGCAATAGAGTGTTATAAACGTGGAAATGTTTGTACTGACGTAACTGTGTAGTCGGAGATACAATCTAAATGCACTGATTCTATCCTTTCTCATTTTTACCAGTCGTCGTATCTTTGACTCACAAGAAAATGAAACGTCGATATGAGATATTAATATTCTTTGGGCATAATTTTTATTTTTGTGAAAAACAGCATTGTCTAGAGAAATACCTCTGACACGTACATTTTTAAGTTGATTTTGAAATATTTATTCTAATGCCCTATAATATACTATTTTCACGATTTTAAATGAATTAAAACATTATTTGGCTAAAATTATTTCATGTCAATTGAATTGTTTGGATATAAAATGGATTTGTTTAGTCAAGTCATTTAGATAGGAGATAGTCAAGGTTGTCTTTGGGCGTGATTATGATGACCACTAAGAGAGAGAGAGAGAGTGCTCCCGTTCCTGAGATGGAATCGAGTAATACGCAGTCTTCATTGTAACTTATTTCGTAGATGGAGGTGGGGTATGCGATAGACCTACTTCCACGTAGTGCAGCCTGGGCAACGTATTCTCATACTGCAAAAAAGTCTAGAAACCGGCAGTCGACTTCTGACTTCAAACTACCATGATCCTACTGTATGTCTTATTCGATCACTTCCACCATACTTGTCCTACCTTTTCTCTGCCTTTGTGTCTGTTTGTCTGCCTCTTTTGCATCTTAAAATCACTCTTCTGTCCCCCTCTCCACTTTTTCTCGTTTCGATGTTCCTCCTTCCCTCTGTGAAGCCCGAAGTCAGCCAAAGGGCAGGTGATAAGTATCATAAAGCCCGCCATTTGAAATAAATTTTTAGATTTGTTGATTTCGTTGCGATTCAAAAACAACTTCTGACTTCCAATATACAATCCGTGCACCCACAGTGCAGCCATCAGCACACCCCACTTTTGAAAGAGCATTTTCAAGGCCAATCGATGTGGGGGGTGCACACACCACTTGATGGAGATGGAAATATCTCAGATGTTAGTTTAATTTCTGACTACCTGCCAATTGAACATATGCCTACAGTAAATGTAAACAGTGAATGCTGCCGAAAACAACAACATTGTTCTCTAAGTGGATTCAAAACGGGATCACACAACACAATCCTAACAAGATCACGTGTTTCAACTCAGATTCCTCAGCGTTAAAACTAGTTGAGTACTCGGTCATCAGGTCAGCGACTATCTAGCTTAATATAATGATGATAACTATTCAAAACGCCTGCCAACAGAAAATTGTCCAGGATAATTGCAAACGGCAAAAGATGTCGAAAACCAATAAAGTTTTATGTTGTTTCAAAACAAATGTATACAATTGCGTAACAAGAGGAGCTCAACTGTCTTATAATTCAGGAACAATTATTTAATTTTGAACTTTGGAATACGAGCCTGTAAAATACTGGTTCAGTGAACTTTAGAAGGGATTAGCATTAGGGTCATTTTAATAAATAAACGCTTTCTTTATCATTAAGGGTATATCTTTACAGGCTACCGACTATGTGACCAGTCGAATTAATGGCAAAAACTTCTATCAACCGGCAGTTGACTTCTGACTTCAAGCTACCATCACCCCACTGTATATCATATTCCACCACTTCCACAGTACCTATCTTACCCTTTCTCTGCCTTTGTGTCTGTCTGCCTCTTTTACATCTGTGAATCGTTCTTCTGTTCCCCACCCCTCTCGACTATTTGTCACTTTGATGTCCTTCCTCCTCCTCTCTGTGTAGCCCGAGGTCAGTTAAAGGGCTAATGATAACTATCAAAATGCCTGCCATTTCATATAAATTTATGAAGTCACATTTCAACAACACAATAAATAAAAGCACAACATTGACTTAACTCCAG